GGGAAGGTTCTCTCATGGATTGGTAACTGGTTAAAAGATAGGAAACAAACAATCGGAATAAATGGTTAGTTTTCAGAATGGAGAGAGGTAAATAGTGGTGTCCCCCAGGGGTTTGTACTGGGACCAGTCCTATTCAACATATTCATAAATGATCTGGGAAAAAGGATAAAACAGTGAGGTGGCAACATTTGTAGATGATACAAAACTACTCAAGATAGCTAAGTCCCAGGCAGACTGCGAAGAGTTACAAAAGGATCTCTCAAAACTGAGCAACAAAATGGCAGATGAAATTCAATGTTGATAAATGCAAAGTAATGCGCATTGGAAAACATAATTCCAACTATACATATAAAATGATGGGGTCTAAATTAGCTGTTACCACTCAAGAAAGAGATCTTGGAGTCATTGTGGATAGTTCTCAGAAAACATCCACTCAAAATGCAGCGGAAGTCAAAAAAGCGAACAGAATGTTGGGAATCATTAAGAAAGGGATAGATAATAAGACAGAAAATATCCTATTGCCTCTATATAAATCCATGGTATGCCCACATCTTGAATACTGTGTGCAGATGTGGTCACCCCCCCTCTCAAAAAGGATATATTGGAATTGGAAAAGGTTCAGAAAAGGCAACAAAAATGATTAGGGGCATGGAACAGCTGCCGTATGAGGAGAGATTAACAAAATTTAGACTTTTCAGCTTGGAAAAGAGATGACTAATGGGGGATATGATAGAGGTCTATAAAATCATGACTGGTGTGGAGAAAGTAAATAAGGAAGTGCTATTTACTCCTTCTCATAACACAAGAATTAGGGGTCAACCTGTGGAGTTCCTTGACAGAGGATGTTGTGAAGGCCAAGACACTAACCGGGTTCAAAAAAGAACTAGATAAATGCATGGAAGATAGGTCCATAAGTGGCTATTAGCCAGGATGGGCAGGAATGGTGTCCCTAGCCTCTGTTTGCCAAAAGCTGGGAATGAGCAACAGGGAATGGATCACTTGATGATTACCTGTTCTGTTCATTCCGTCTGGGGCATCTGGCAATTGGCCACTGTCAGAAGACAGTATACTGGGCTAGATGGACCTTTGATCTGACCTAGCATGGCCGTTCTTATGTTTTTATGTATGGCACTTCATTAGCATGATAAGGATCACACCTAAATCCATATCTCCTCAAACCTACAAATTCTCCATCCACAGAATCCCATATTTAACTCTGAACACCTGCGAGTGAGGAGGTTGGGGGTGGGGGGTGAGAGTTTTGGATGTAGGACAGAGGATTATGCCTAATACTGATTCTACTTGGAGTCATACATTAGCATCCACTGTCATGGAGGCTAGAGCACAATAGCCCATCACAGAAGGACTTGCAGTATCAAGATCTTAGATGATAGATCCATTTACTAATTAAATAATATTTGGGAAATTTATTATATATCTAATAGGACTCCAGAGGCTTTTGTAGGCAAGTAATGTATATCTTTTAAATGTGCCTAAATATTAACTCCAAACATACCTTTTACCTGTAAAGAAGGGAGACGAATCCTGAAGTCCTTAGTCAGTCCCTAAATAGGCAAAACTCCTATTGAAATCAGTGAGAGTTTTGCCTGACTAAGGACTTAGGGATTAGGTTCAATGGGAGGTTAGCCTGAGGAAGAACTGAATAAAGACAGCAAAATTTAGGACATTTACTTGAATAGGACTTAAGGATCCAGCTCATTTAAACTTGCACTACAGTCAGAATAACATTAGAGATGAGAGGATAGTCTGAGTTTCACCATTGCCCAATGCTAGCAGCTGCAGGAAACTGTTCATAGATCCACCTGATCTTAATGCACGAGCCTCACTCAGTGCTCCAGAGAAAGGCCTCTTATGTGATGCTTTGAGTACAGTAGTTTCCTCTAATCAATTAAATCCTTTACATATGATCATGATTCACGAATCATCACAGCTCAGCAGCCAATCCAATTTATACCCAAAATATGCTAGTGTCCAAGTAACTTTCTTCCACTGTGAATTATGCCTAATGCCTTGGGCACAGCAGGAAGGTCAGATGTTGACTGTCCTCCAAGAAAGATAAAGTCTCTCCATGTCTGTGACATACAATACTAAATCATAGAGTGTTAGTAAAACTGTCTGATTCCTTTTCCTGCTGTTAATCTGATCTTCAATTCTTTTTAACCTCCTGTTCTGCATTGCTACAGGTTGTGGTGAGCTGCGGGTTGGTTCAATCTTCTCAGCAGAGGGGAATCTTTACATCAGCAGCATGTAACTAACCTGGAGCATATTCTGGAGTATAAAATGTCATCTATAACTCCAGAACTACCACACTGCTTACCCCACTCCTGATCCAGTTCTTACCTAGCTCAGTGGTTTCACCTAGTGCTGGGTGCTGCTTTTTTAAAAAGTAAGTCTTTGGTGAATTCAGGACTGTAGTAAAGCTACACAGCTTCTGTAATCTGCATTCAAACTCTCCACAAGTCTGCAGATGTCTGGATCAGGGATGTTGGTTTGGGGGCAACTTTGGGTTGTGAGCACTGAGAACTATTTCCAGTATATGGAAGTGTGATTCAAAAGTAACTTTTAGGGGTTTCCAAACAACACTAGAACAAGCCAAACTCCTCCCGGATGTAACTCCATTGTGGCTTATACAAAACCATAAGTATCTTGAAACCCACTGTCATTGCTGTTGGTGTTTTCTTTCTTTCTTCCTTTTTTTTTTTTTTTTTTTTTTTAAATAAGCAAATCTGGTGCAATGGAAGTGAAACTGCACTGTCTCAGAGACGTGACGTAAGAAGGCCATTTGTGTGGCTGCTTTATAGAACCAGCTTTCACTGGGGATTTTTCATTCATCATCTGCATACAGAACAGTATGTAACTTTCTCATAACTGTTTCTTGGTCATTGGGGGAATTCTTTTAACCAAAGTTACCTGCCTTCTGGCCTTTTGGCTAAGATACAATATAACATCATTTTGGAGACATCCTTGATTAGCAGGCTATCTCCTGTTATAGGAAGACAGATTATGTGATCTAATAGACCTTTTATATGTGTTACCACTGGAGATGGGGCCATACCAAAATCCCAAGTCTGAATAAACTCATTCTTTTGGGAAGTTCAGATATGAATTTGGAGACCAACTATGATCCACATTAGCTCAGTTTTGTTGTATGGAAAAAACCTTTGTGAGAATGTGTTTACGTTAAAACAAATGCCAAATAAATCTTGCAAATTCAGCTTAAATTTTAAGAACTTTTAAAAATATGTATGGGGGAAAATGTGAAGAAGATGATGTCATAGGGAACTGCAGGAGGTCTATGGAGAACCCAGTATAGTAAATGTAGTGAAGTCCCAATCACTTCATTGGACAGGGTATGTTGTTAGGATGATGGAAGACACACCAAACAAGGCATTTCTTGGAAGGACATCCTTGTGGTGTCCAACCTCATGGCTAATAAGGAGAAGATGGAGGGATAACAGTGAGCAAAGTCTAAGAGCTTTTAATATGAATTACCCTCAACTGGAAAAATACGCCCTTGACAGAAAGAGATGGGGACAAATTGTGACAGTGGCCAAGGTTCTCCATAGTCTACAGAGCCAGGAAGCAGTAGTAGAGAAAAACACACAGTTTCCCACTATATTACCTTCTATGCATAATGAGAAGTACTAGCCTGCCTGGAGGAGAAGGAGCTGAAATGCTGAACTAGCAAAGGAAGAACAACAATTTAGTTTTAACAAAGTCAAAGGAGAGAATTAGACAGGGAAGGGGAATCAAGGAAATGATCTTTTGAAAGAACCATAGAATATCAGGGTTGGAAGGGACCTCAGAAGTTCATCTAGTCCAACCCCCTGCTCAAAGCAGGTCCAATCCCAAGACAGATTTTTGCCCCAGATCCCTAAGTGACCCTCTCAAGGATTGAACTCACAACCCTGGGTTCAACAGACCAATGCGCAAACCACTGAGCTATCCCTCCCCTCCCAAAGCAAGTAGAATATCAGAGGGCAAAGGAAGAGCTATGCACCTTTTCTTTTAATGTGCGTAAATGGCGGAGAAATGAGAAATCTGCTTGACTACTTAGGTTCAGGTATGGTGCCATGACCATAGAATATGAGCACCTTATATGAATTAAAAGCACAAGACAATATTGATCAACCTGTCTCTTTCTTCCGAGTGGGTAGCACTAAGTTACTTGACTGGCTTGTGTTTGCGTGTCTGTATGCAAGAGGAACTTGTTCAAGGAAAGCCAACTTGAAGAGATGAGCTTTGCATTTAATGCTGAATATAAGCAGGCTGATGGTCATTCTTGCTGGACCTTTTCTGATAGTGAGTTCCATAGTCTCTAGGTCCAGACCCACTAACAGTTCCATCTCCTGCATGCCACAGCTGTTCCCTACTGGAAGGCAGTTTCATCATTCCAGTGAAGTGTAGCTGTTGTGGGAGATCATGGTTCTAAAGGGACAGATGGTCTCCCAGGTAGCTAGTCCCAGAGACAGCTTTGACAACAGAGACCTTGAATTGGACTCTCTACACAATGGACTAGAGGACAGGAAGCCAATGCAATGGTTGTAAATACACTTCCAGTAGCACTGGGAAAGCAAGAGGAGGTGGGGGATAGAACAGTCACTGAGAGACAGGTAGGGTCAGGGATGGTGAGGTTTTAAGGATGAAGGGAAATAGAGCATGTTTATAGGCAGAGGGAAAGGAGCCAAAAGTCATGGAGAAGCTTTCTGTTTCATGCCCTGGCCTGAAATATGACTGGGAGAGACCGATGACATCAGCAGCTGACAGATGGAAACACTGGGGAAGCAGTTTGCCTTAGAGAGCCATTACTTTACATTGATTTTCCACATATTTAACAGAGCCACCATATTTCCAGCCTGCCAGCCCACAATGAGAAAAGTCTCCTTGCTATATTAATAATACTGAAATGCTGCCCAGTTGCAAATCTTTAGCTCCTGGAGCCACAAAATAAGCCTGGATGAGCTAACTCTCTAACGTACCTTTCCCAAACTGGTCACCAACAATGGCAAAGGCTTGGAGTTGGGTGTTAACAGTGAGCAGCTGGAAGTTGTCTGCCAGGTTCACCATCTGTTTGCTGAGACACTTAAATGAATTCCCCATCGTAGCTGTAAACAGCTGCTTGCTTGTAACATTGTGCCATGAACCTGGAGGCCACAAAGAGAGAGAGACACAAATAGGAATAGACAATAACTCTATGGAAACATTTCTGAGGTTGAGTGGTGGCTGATTCTGAAGAGCCTTTGTCCCCAATGCTTTGGGAGGGCAGTAGGCACTTCTGTGGGTGCATATTGGAACAGTCTTTGTATCACAATGTTTATCAGCCCCAAATATTTTTTTAATGGCTGCTTTAATGGGCAGACCTTGGGAAGATGAGAGTTTGGGATGGGTTTGGAAAGCACACAACAATTCACATGCTTCTTCAAACCTTACCTGAAATCCTCGAGTCTGCAAAACTGGGATGAAAATTTCACAAGAATTAGCCTTTATGCCAGGTCTCCAGTCCTGTCACTTCCAGCCACAGATGCCAATCAATTCTCTCACAGGATTTTGGGACTTCTCGTGCTGATTGCTGAATAAACCGTTTCCCAGCACTACAGAACTTTATAAAAAGGTTTGGCTCCAGTTTGATTCAAGAAGTGAGCGATGTGTCAGGCATGATTGGTTCTCATGTTTTACCACCCAGTTGGTCTATCCCTAGTTTTAATGTGCTGCATGCAACTTTTTGCAAGACATGGGGAAGCTCTGTGAAAATTGGCACTGAGGGTAGCCCTAGATAGGCATCTCCTTTGGGCCTGCTCCTTCTTTCCCGTTCAGTGTTATTAATCAGAAGTAGCTCCATTAAAGTCTCATACATGAGAAGAGAATCAGGTACATAAACTCAGATCCTGAAAGCCATGTAGACACCTAACTCCCATTTAAATAAATACCTTTGAGGATCTGGGCCATAGTGTCCAGCACTATCAGGACACCCCTGCTTGAGTGATTACTTTAGTTTCATTCTTCTTCTGTTGGCCAGAGAGTAACAAGCATGAATCAGAAGACTAATGAATAACATGTGGGTCAAAACATACGTAAAATTAATAATAGGGAAAATATATAATGATGGTGCAGGATTCATCACTTTGACCTAAATAGAATTCTCTCTAGTGTTGTTTTCCATGAGTTAGCACTTCAGATGTCACTCATTTATGTTAAAGCTGTGAGCACCAGGCCAGTGTGAGAAAGAGAAAAACTTGGGTCTGTTGTGAAGATGGGTCAGAGACAAAATTACAGCTCTTGACACCAAGGGTTATTAAAAAAGTGTTTGGGTTAGGATCCAAATTATAAAATTGGTTCTTATATTTACATTGGGCCAAACCAACATGCCTGACATGACCACTCCTACACTTTGGGGTGTTTGGAAGCTGTATCCAGATCTGAATTTCTGTGGCGTGTGCTTGTTTCTGGTTTATAAGTCACAACGTTTCTGGTTTATAAGTCACAAAGTTTCTCTCTGGGTGCAGATACAAAACTTTCCCAAAGCTGAGTGGTATTTGGATTTGGACCCTTCTCCAGTCTATATCAAGGACAGTTGAGAGGTATAGGAATGAGTTGGAGACACAAGTACGAAAAAAGAATTGTGATAAGTTAACTGCAACTTAGTCACATCTTTTTGATTTTTAAACCATAAAAGTTTAGGTGGAGGCTAATTTGAAAGAGTGACTAAAATACAGTAACCTATCAGCAAAATCACTGCTTTTAATTAAGGCAGCCTGAGTCTACCCCCAGATATGTAGAAAACTGAAAATAACTGATAAGAAAAAAATCACAACAAAATTAAATCAAGAATGGTTTGGAAATGAAATTAACACCGTGAATATAAAATACACAAACACTTACCCACAGAGGGTATCTTTAAGCTGGCCTCAACTGTACTGACGTAATAGACTCTATCTTTCTGCAAAATAACAAATTAATATCGTTAGCTGCCATTGTGCCTTAATGTTTGTGAAATATAATACACAGTATACTGCGGTGCAGGGAAGACAAACCCAGCAAAATGGACTCAGGGAGGATATGAGAAGAAATAGTTATTGTCTCGCTAAACAAAGCAGGTGTTTTGTGGAAGAAACTTAAATTCCATTGCCCTGTGGAGCTTCAAGATTATTATTAATTTTCCAGATGCTTTACAAAAGCAAAAAGTCACAGGGCCAGGTTATCATCTGGTGTAATTTCAGTTCTATTGTTTTCAATGGATCTGTGCTGATTTATAGTGATTGAGAGTCTGGCTAACAGTCCCGGCCCTGAAGAGTTTATGATTCAAATTTGACACGACCCATGAGGGTCATTAAAAATAAACTGAGGGTGAATGAGAAAAATTGGGCAAAGGTAGCAGTGACGAGATCACACAATTATTCGAGATTGGAACACATCAAAAAAATCCTCCCATCAGATCCTGAGAATCAACTCCCTCAACCAGCCCATAGGGACTTTATTTTAATATTCTGGTGCCGGAGTCTGGCGCAAGCACCCTGCCATATACAATACAGCTAATGCTCAGTTCAGTTCAAGTGGATCATGTGGGTGTGATTTGCAGGTGTTGTATGTGAGTATAAGCCATATATATGCAGTGTTGTTCAGGGTCGGCTTTAGGAACTGTGGGGCCTGATTTGAATACCCGGCGGCGGTCAGGGTCTTCGGCGGCACTTTGGCAGCAGGGAGTCCTTCACTTGCCCCGGGTCTTCCGCGGCACTGAAGGACCGCCCCCCCCCCACTGCCAAAATGCCGCTGAAGACCCGGCGGGAGTGAAGGACCCCCGGACGCCGAAGTGCCGCCAAAGACTCGGACCGCCGCCGGGTGAGCAAAAAAATTTAAAAGGCGCCTAAGGTGCAGGGCCCTCTTAGGCGCGTGCGCGGGGCCCTCTTAGGCGCGGGGCCTGATTCCGGGGAATCGGCCTAAAGCCAGCCCTGGTGTTGTTGTAACTGTGTTGGACCTAGGATATTAGAGACCAGGGCCGGCGCTTCCATTTAGACGACCTAGGGGTTGCCTAGGACACCAGGATTTGAGGGGGGGGGATTTTGACGCCCTTGGCGGCAATTCGGCGCTGGGGGGGTCCTTCCGCGCTCCGGGTCTTCGGCAGCAATTCTGCGGCGGGTCCTTCAATCGCTCCAGGACCTGCCGCCAAAGTGCCCCAAAGACCGGGAGCGCGGAAGGACCCCTCCGCCGCAGAATTGCCGATGACAACCGGGCCTAGGTTTGCCTAGGGCGCCAAAAACCCTGGTGCCGCTCCTGTTAGAGACACAAGATAGGCAAGGTAATATCTTTTATTGGACCAACTGGTAAGAAAGACAAGCTTTAGAGCTTACACAGAGCTGACCTGAAGAAGACCTGTGTAAGCACCAAACCTTGTCTCTCCCACCAACAGAAGTTGATCCAGTAAAAGATATTACTTAGCTCACCTTGTGTCCGTACGTTTCCATGTCATTTGTGGTAAGCGCATGTTGGGGAGGGTTCCGCAAGTTTTTGTATTACACAAGTTAATAGGCACAAGATGAGACCTTTTATTTTTCTACCCTGTGTTTTGCTGTTATACTTGGAGGGAGAATCTCCACACTGCTCTCTTTAGTTGAATTTATGTATGACTTACACAGAGCTGAATGGCGGCTTTAAATCAGTCTCACAGCAGTTGCACTGCCCCAGCAGCAGCTCCTGGATTCAAGGTGCTTGGGACAGGAAGATGTCTGCAACAATTTGTGCATTTCCACTGTGAGTAGAGATCTCTTTCCAGTTTGGGTTTTGCTTACCTTCCATTCAGTGTAACAACAAATTTGAGGTGAAATCATATCGCAAAACAAGAGAGGAAACTGTAAGAGGAATAGTCCTTTCTGTAACTTGGGTAATTGCACACACCTCCCACAAGGCCAGCTTGATTTCACAGGCTTGCAGCTTTGTGGAGTGGAAAATACCTGAGATCGTGACAGCTGACTGTGGTATTTTCAGCTGACCATCCTGCGTGGGTATTGCACTAAAGCCTGGTGGAGTGTGATTGTCTGATTGCTCTGCCCTGGGACCTTCACGGAAATAAGAGCTGTATCTTATGAGGCTATTCCCAAGGAGCAATATTTTAAATGAAAGAAATGCAAGTTTCAGGTTTAGAATTTGGCCCTCCTCTTGCAGCCCTGCTGCGAGGCTGAATTACCAGTGGCTTCAGCCATAGGCACCGACTCCGTGGGTGCTCCAGGGTTGGAGCACCCAGGGGAAAAATGAGTGGGTGCTCTGCACCCACCGGCAGCCAAGCTCCCCTCACCCTCCGCCCCACTTCCTCCCCCACCCCTGAGTGGGCCGCGTCCCCGCTCCTCCGCCTACCTCCCAGCGTTTCCCAGCTGGACACCACCAAACAGCTGTTTGGCAGCGTTAGCACACTCTGGGAGGGGGGGAAGGAGCGGGAACGTGGCACACTCAGGGGAAGATGCGGGGCCGGGGTGGAGATTTGGGGAAGGAGTTGGAATAGGGGCAGGGAGGGGGCGGAGTTGGGGTGGGGACTTTGGAGAAGAGGTTAGATTGGGGGCAGGGCAGGGGTGGGAAGAGGTGGGGCAAGGCCCCATGGAAGGGGTGGAGTGGGGGCGGGGCCGGAGGCTGATGGGGGGGTTGAACACCCACAGGAAAGAGGGGAAGTTGGCGCCTACGGCTTCAGCTACAGTCCTGTGTACGGAAGGACTGGAGGGTTAGACTGCTGGCTAATTGCCAGCTGGCAACTATTCTCCTCTTGTACTTCTCCTTCTCAAAGTAAGGAGAGTTTTAAGGCTCACAGGTTTCAACAACAATAATAGAAAATGTGTGAAACTCCATCGTCAGAAAAAGAGGAAAGAAGTTCTAATAATTATACCTTGCACTTTCTATAGCACTGAAGATTTCAAGCCCTTTACAAATGTCATTTACACCTCATCACACCTTTGTGGGGGAAATACTAGAATGCCTATTTTACAGATGGTTAAACCAAGAGGGCTAATGATTTGCAGAAGTTCACACAGTGATCCTAGGAATGTTGACTCCTAGTATCCCACTCTAACCACTATACTCCAGTGAGAAGCAGCTGTCAGTGAAGTTCCTGACCGACGAGTGTCCATATCACAAAAAAGTTGCCATCTCCATTAGCAACCTTGCATTCTGTCCAGACATGGGACCAATTCTACTCTGAGGAATAAAACATCTGTTCTTACTGAGCATATGGTGGGTACATTACAGGCCTTCCTGTTTTCAAACCCTGTGCAAGGACATCTGCCTGTGGGTTCATAGAAGCAGCTACTCATTTATCTGTCATCACATTTCAGCACTGCAGACATGTGACTTGAGGGTCTGATTCTGCTCTTGGCTACAGTGATGCAAATCAGGAGTGACTGGAGCTACACAAGTGTAAAACCAGTTTGCCTCTGACCAGAATAGCCCTTGAGAGTCTGAAGGTTGACCATACCAGACTGAAACTGTAGCAAACAGAGTTCTGAACAGCTCATATTTCAAAGTCCTGACACTCTTGTGAGAGCTTATCTTTAAGTGAAGGATAGATTGTGCAATGCTGTGCCATTAATCTCATTGTTCTGGGGGTGAGAGCAAGCACAGCTCCCAAAGTTTCATATCAGTATCTTTAGTGCTGCTGCTCCAGTTGATGCTTATATGTACTTGAATCACAGGACTTGGTCTAAGGATCCTTGCAGGGTAGGAATGCAGCTCTCTGAGTGCAAGGAGAACACATCCAAAACAAACACTTAAAATATTAACTGATCCTTTGTTTTCAAACATTTCCTCTGTATATTTTTGCTTCACCTCACATTTATTCCTCTTTCATCCGCAGTTTTAGAAATCTGTCTCCAGTCAACCAAAGGAGATGGGTTTCAGAGTGGTAGCCGTGTTATTCACCAGAATCTAATATCTAATATCATCACATTGCCCAAATATTAACAACTTTGGGCAGTATAAACTGGCATTGCTTGCTCCAATGTCTCCAATGGACCTATGCCAATTTACACCAGTTGAGGACCTGGCCCTTTGTCCAAAGGTGAATTGTGAATGTTGGATGATTAACCACTTGCATGTTCCCTAACACAGTTGTCGTTAACAGGGGTCTAGGATGATTTCCCTGATCACTCTGGAGGACAGAGGCATTCTGTCCTGGAAGACTAATGGAACCAAAATCAAGGTTTTGGTTTGACCCATTACAAAGATACAGTCAGCTATGAAGCTCAGACCCAAACCCAAATGTTTCCAAAGTTCAGGTGTGTTCAGATTTGAGCCCTTCTTCATGTAACAATCTTGTGGCTTCGTGAGATTAAATCACAGAGGCAGTTGATGATGTTACAGTTTTATTACAGTCTCTTTTCCATTTTAAAGACCTTTTGTCAACTGCCTTGTCCATTGCATTCATAGTACAAACTTCTCTTTATAGCACTGCTGGTGTCACGGTACAATCCCTGTTAGCCATCATAGAATCTATTCCCTCTGCACACCAAAAACCTAGGCATGGGTGTCCCATATAACTGGGAGTTATAATTAGAGATAAGAGTTCCTTGTCTCTAATTTAGGGCCCAGTGCCAGGTTCCTGACATGCACAGAGATGTATTTATTCAGAATAACATGGTCACTGACATGCCATACTGTATTCTACATACATGTTTGGAATAGAGATGCCCCCAAACTAAACCCTGGACCCAAACACTTCTGAAGTTTGGTGGTTGAGGAAATCTGAATTTGCAAATGTCTCCTCTCTTTATAATGGGCCAAACCAAAAATTCAGGTATAAACAGCCCCATATTTTGAGCTGTGTGCAATCCACATCCAGGTTTTGAGTGATACCCTGTTGTAATATCAATATTTCGCCCTTCTCTGGTGTCTTCAACCAGAGGATCTCAGAGCACTTTACTGACATTAATTTATTGAGCATCAGAACACCCTGTGAAGTCTTGTAGATGGAGAAAATGAGGAACAGGGAGATGAAAAGACTTGCCCATGATCATGCAACGAGTCTATTCTGGGAATAGAACCGAGGAACTGAATCCCAATTCCCCAGCTCTGACCTCTGCCTTGCTGTAAAAAATAAGAGTGCAACAATTACCTTTACAAAGGTAACGCTTATAAAGCCGCCATTAAAAGTTAAATTCAGATTTGATTGCAGATTTCCACAGCTTCCAGATGTTTGTGTGATACTGGGATCAATATTGAAGTATCCCTTCTTCTGCTGTGGAGACAAAAAAAATTTCCAGTGTATCTCAGTTAGAGACAAAACAAAAAAAGAAACACACAGACACTTAAGAGCTTTCTGAAATTGAATTGATGGGTCTGGATCAATAGCCTTGCGGTTGACTACCATCCAAAAGACCGTAGGCTGCATTATCCAGTCTGATCTCATGCTTCCAGGGACTTAGCACTGCAGATTGTGCTGTTTGTCTCTAACATAATTTCTGCAGACCTGGACTTTAGTCTGACTTGGGCCCTTCAAGGCTGAGAACACTTCAATCTAACCCTCTGTGAGCCTCTCACACATCATAAAACAATGCATCACAATCTGGTGAGGAGAAACCCCGGAGCAGAACAGGTCTGCAGGTTAGAAAGAAGGTCCTTTAGTGGTGTGAGGCACTATGCTTAGCTTTGGACCTTAGTGAGTATCATATGTTTTCATCTGCACTTAGCAGTCATCACATTTAAACAACATTTAGAATCAAAATGAAAACATCCATATTTACAATAGTAAGGATTAAAAACACAAAACAAGTAACCATTTGCTTTGGAAAGGATATAAATTCCAATGCTTCATGGTATAATCCAAACCTCTAACTAATGGAAGTTAGGACAACCTTTTCCCTATGGGCAGGTTATTCTGTAACCAACTAGTATGGGGTTTCTTGCATGTTCTTCTAAGGCATATGGCACTGACCGCTGCCTGGACCATTGGTCTGATCCTCCTGGCAATTCCTGTGATTCTAAAATATCAAAGAGCCCAAATCAAAGACTTCCATCTTTGAAACGCTGATTGATAATTTCTCATCTCTTTTATGACGCTCCAGTTTAAGCATCTTTTTAAAATAAATCAGATTGTAACTCACTTACAATTCTGGGAAACAGGTACACTGATGTCTAATTTTGCGGCATATGGTAATTGAGGGGAATTGCTTTGAAGGAGGCAGGATAAACTCAAACTAATGAAGAAAGATTGGTACAAGCGTCAGATCATGTATCTCTTTAATGCTAATGAATATTGCATCTCACCGTCTTAGAGTTTTGAACAATCAGCTCCAATCCCATTGATGCTTTAATGCAGTTCACACTTCCATTGGAAACATTGTAGGCTCCAGTAGTGGGTGATGATGGATCAGGTGCGAGGGTGGGCCCCACGGTGGCTGTCGTAGCAGGTCTGGTTGTTTGATTCCCTGGAGGAAGGGTTGTCATGTTGGTTCTGGCTGTAGTTTTTGCTGCTGTATGAGTTGTTTGTTTCGTTGGCTGTGTGGTGGTCTTTACAGCTGTCTTCTTGGTTATTGCTGTAGTTGTTACTGCAAGGGTTGTAGTTTGATTGGTTGGTGATGTAGGCGTTGCAGTTGTCTTCTTAGCTGCAGTTGTAGTTGCTACCCTTGAATGGGTTGTTTGGTTCGTTGGCAGTGTGGTTTTCTCAGTTCTCTGGATGGTTGTCTTGTTAGATGTTTGTGCTGTAGTTGTTACTCTTACATGGGTTGTAGTTTCATTGGTTGGCAGTGGGGGCTTTGCAGTTGTTTTCTTACCTGCTATTGTAGTTGTTAATATTAGATGGGTCGTCTCGCTGGTCAGCTGGGTGTTGTTTTCTCTTGCTTGCGTTGTCATGTTAGGGGCCAATGCTGTTGTTACCGGATGATGGTTTGTTGTTTGGGTGGCAGTGAGTGCAGATGTTCTTTGGCTTAATGAGGTGGTTATAATATTACTTGTCCTGCTGGAGAAAAGCGTGGTGACTGCATGGCTGGAAGAAGTTATCTGATATGGGGAAACTGACTGAGCAGAAGTAGTTCTCTGTAGGAACGAAGTAGATTGTGGGGTTGATTTGAGCTCCATCTCATAATTCCCCACATCAGCATGGCAGGATAAAAATGCTGCAAAGGAGTAAACAAGTCATTAGACTAGTAACCTTCATTGCTTATAACCTGTTGGTATCTACAGTATCCCTCTAGTTTTGTAATAAAGAGTCTGGTATATTTTGATTCCTCCTGTCACTCCATTTATAATGCAAGAAACAGAGCCGACATTCTGTAGAACAACTCCTGTTAAAGAATCTTTTTATAACAATACCCTAGTCTGTTATATTGTTGCTAACTGGAGAGTTATGCAGCTTGGCACATTGGGACGTTTCATTTGAAGCGTGGTGCAATGGGGAGCAAAGAAACACCATTAAAATAGTCACAGGACAAACTCTCAGCACCACGGGTTTGCTGGGTGCTGAAGATCTGGGATTCTGATCCTCGTTGCAGCCTTTTTCTATTAGGGAGGCGATGGGTTTAGCTGAATCAGTAACACGAGGGGAAAAAAGAAAAGAATAAATGTATTTTTTCAAGTAGGTCAGGTCTTTTTATCAAGGAAGAGGGAAGGAATCTGTAGAAGGTACAGATTTTCATAGGTGCTCAATCATCTCGTAACATTTCTAAAGCTGCGGTTATTTGTGTAGCCCTATTAGTGTGGAGAGGGTGAGGGAAGGGCATTTGCTCCATTGCACCAGCTGGTCCCTTTGGACCCAGTGAGATGGCAGTGGTGACTGGAAGGCCCAGATTTAGTTGGTGCTGTGATAAATAAAGTGGTGGTGTAGCTCCACCGCTACCACCAAGCCAAGGTCAGATAGGAGGTGTAACCTTGGGAGTTTAATACAAGCCTGGAATGGCAAGTATTAATTTTTAAAATCCTTGCAAGCCCCCACTGCCTGCACTCATGGTGCCAGCTCCCTTTGATGGATAACCAGCCAGACAGTTAGCTGGATAATCCCACCACTGCCACCATGTCAAGGCTGAATCCCCACTCTGGCACCTCAAGTGCAGAAATTGGGGGCCCGCAAGGATTTAAAAAATTAATACTTGCCACTCCAGGCTTGTATTAAACTCCCAAGGTTACACCTTCTCTCTGACTTTGGCTTGTTAAATGCTGCCACCACCCAAATGCAACAAAACTCATTTGAAGCCAGGAAGGAGCACTTGGGAATTCCTCCTTGTGGGGTACCCACAAGTCTTTTCATGCCCCCTCAGGGGAAGAGCTGAGAAAGAAAACAAAGGGAGCTACCCCACCACTTTATTTATCACAGGTGCACTTGGTTGTTGCTGTTGCTGGCTGCTCTGGGGGAAGGATCCCGAGGGTATGGGACTTCCATGGTCCTCCCTCTGCAAGCTGCCTCTGTCTGGAAGGTGAATGGGGAGGCCACTGAGGATAGTGCCCCAGGCAGCTACCTCTTGTCCAGCTTCAACACCGAAATAACCCTCCCGCTGACTGCACAGCCCCCTAGTTGTCACCTACCACCCCACGCTAGGATCCATATGGGGTATCATCAAACAACTACAACCCATAGTCGATGGGGACCCATCCTGAAAAAAATCTTTCCTGAACCTCCTTTTCTGGCCTTCAAACAACCCCCCAACCTCTCCACGCTCATCCTCAGAAGTAAGCTCCCCACAGACAAGGACCCATCAACTCAAAGTGGCACCAGACCCTGCCAGAACACCAGATGCAAAACCTGCAGCTATATCTCCACTGCTACCATGATCAACGCCCTCCCACAGCACACCTTTCGAGAACCATGGAGCTTATACATGCCTAGCATAACATGCAGTGTACCTCATCCAGTGCACGCAATGTCCCAATAACAACTTCGTGGGCGAAACCAGACCATCACTACATGCTCAAATGAACTCACACAGGAAAATGAGCCAAGACAAAAACACCATATCACCTGTGGGTGAACACTTTTCACAACGTGATCACTCTATAGCTGACCTATCAGTCCTCATCCTCAAAGGAAACCTGCACGACACTTTCAAATGACGAGGCTGGGAGCGTAAATTCATCACTCTGCTAGACACTAAAAATCATGGACTGAATAGAGACACTGGATTTATGGCTTATTACAACAATCTGTAACCCACTAACAGCACCCTCCCCCCCAGCTGATTTCTCCAGCCCCATCCTTATTTTCCTCCCTATGACTGGAGGGGTGTTAATGGGCCACCTTGAATGGTCCCATGAAATGTGTGTTAACGCCTTATGCTAACCAATCTATAGTTAGCAGTACAGTAAGTAGCATAACTCCTTATGCTAAACCTTGTATTTAGCAGTGACACTTTGAGTTAGGCCATGTGTACACTAGAGAGCTTACAGCGGCACAGCTGTACTGATGCAGGTGCGCCACTGTAAGATCACTCGTGTAGCCGCTCTATGCTGACAGGAGAGAGCTCTCCTGTTGACATAATAAAGCCACCTCCACGAGCGGCAGTAGTTCAGTCAGTGGGAGAAGCGCTCAAGCCGACATAGTGTTGTGCACACTACCACTTATATTGGCATAATTTATGTCACTCGGGGGTGGAATTGTCACAGAAAGTTTATATTGTGTCTCTTGCAGAACCTATGAGTTCGCTACAATCTCACCACTGGCACACACAAAAAAGCTCTTCAGCTCCTAAACCTACACAAGCAATTTAAAAAAGAACATTCTGAAGTATAAAAGGGTTGTGAGTATAACTCTGTGTGAGTGTAGGGGTAGGGGAAGGGGACAGGCCCTGTATAAACAAAGCCAAGTTAAGAGAAGTCATAAGTGTCCTGCCCAATTATATATTCTTTGAAGTGCAACAAATCCAGGAAGTAGGTAAAGTGTTTTCCCTTCTTGTTTAGCTGAAATTGCAGAACAGAAATCGCTTCCCCATTACTGGGTGAGTAGGTACCCTTAGATCCAAAATGATTCATGTTCCAGGCAAAGCGTGTGGTCTATGAGTGAAGATCACTCATAAGTGATCTTCACTAAGTTAGCTGAGAAGTTTATTTTAACTTAGTCCATCTGGGAGGGGGTTATATAAGAATCTGCACCCAAATTATACAGAGGCCGGGATTTGAGATTCAGATTCTAGGTTAAATCAGGCCTAGAGGAAGGTTCAGATTAATTGGTTCTGGAATCTCATAAACTGTTCTTATGTTTGTTTGTTTTTTTGTCCAAAATGGCAGAACATCTGATCGTGCAAAATGTCCACCATCATAGGATATATCCAAACTGGATCCAGAAAATAAGACCTTTTTGATTTTGGATCCAGTCTTGAACCAAAACCATTGGAGTGGATACAGATAGATGGGTCTGATTCTGACCCCACCACTACCCCTCAAAAAAATTGTGCAGAGGAATGAGGGTTGTGAATTATATGCCCCAGAACAGCCTTGCCTCTAATCTTGACCTGTTTTCATTTCAGCGTTGAAAGGACTATATTTCACTTTAGTTCTAGCTATTACTATAATCTGAAAATACAATTCAATGCAATAGAAGGGTCAAATCTAGTTAGCATGACTGACATCTCAGATAATAAATATTTGTTATCAGTAGAGATCTAATTATGCCAACATGCTTTTATAGTTATATTTGAACTTATCTTCCCAATTCAGACTCTCCTGGACTTTAATATAGTTGCTCTGGCAGCAGTTGTATTATCCCCTTGCTTATGGTCATATTGACCATGGCCCATAGTGAGCAAATGCAGTTACTTTGTTCTATCTACTGTGACTGGGCAAGGCCAAATGACTATACGAAAGTAGTGAGAAACAGGTATGTTAGCCCCAGGCTAAACAAATCCCTGTTACCATGGTAACCAAATGGCAGTTGCTCCAGGTTAATCAAGACACCTGGGACCAATTAAGATCCTTCTAGAAAGCGGTGGAGACAACTAGGTTGATTGGGACACCTGAAGCCAATCAAGGGCTGGCTGGAACTAGTTAAAAGCCTCCCAGTTAGTCAGTTAGAGGTGCATGTCAGGAGCTATAGGAGGAAGCTGTGCTGCTGGAGAAATTGGGCAGGACAAACCCTGTCAGGAACAAGGAAGGATGCCCTGAGGTAAGGGTGAAGTAGATGTTGAAGAAGTGGGGGCTGCTGTGGGGAAGTGGCCCAGGGAATTGTCCTTGTCCTGTTTCAAAAAGTCAGCTATCAATAGCTGCTACTATTAGGTCCCTGGGCTGCAGCCTGGAATAGACGGTGGGCCTGGACTCTTCCCGCCCTCCCCCCCGAATTAATCACAGAAACTGTGAGATAACTGAGACTGTGCGAGGGAGGGTTGCTTCTTCCCACCTCCCTTGCTGGCTTATGATGAAAATGGCTCAGTAGGCTGTGACCCTTGCCTCTAGAAAGAGAAGGGCTATGTTGAGGGTCACAGTGAGCCTCTGAGGCTAGTGTAATCCCCGTGGAACCCACTGAGACAAGGTCGGGGCTTTGTCACCACTGGTGTGAGAGGTGGGATCAATTGTTCACAGCGTGTCAGAAGAAAGAGGTTTAAAAAAATGCACTGGGGTTTCGGGGTTTTGTTTTTACCACAATGGAGGAGGCGGTGAGAGCTCTGGTGCAAGCCACAGTGGCCCAGCAGGAGGCGCACCCAGGTTCAGGCGATGGCGCCACAGGAGTCTATGCAGCTACAGCAGGAAACCAACCAATTATTAGTGGGCCAGGCGACCCAAGATCAAGCCCTCCTGTGAGAGGTAGTGGACCAGCTGAAGATCTCACCACCCAGGCCCGGGGGTCTGACGGAACGCGAACCCTGAGGGCCACTGGTTGTCTGCCAAAGATGGCGACAGAAGATGACGTAGAGGCATATCTCCTCTCATTCGAGAGGACTGCTCAGCGTGAGGCATGGCCCAGGAGCAGTGGGCCAGCATCCTCGCCCCTTTTTTATGCAGAGAGGCCCAGAAGGCCTATTTTGAGCTGCCTGCTGAGGACGCCGCTGACTAACCCCAGCTGAAGACAGAGATCCTAGCACGATCAGGAGGTGATGGCAGCCAGAGGTTCCATGAGTGGAAATACCTGGAGAACAAACCTCCGAGGTCCCAGCTATTTGACCTCATACACCTCGTGTGGAAGTGGTTACAGCCTGAG